CCATTTACATTCAATTTCAAAATAAAATTACATCAGTAACTATTTATCCAGTTTTTATTTTGACGTGTCAAACAGTATCGACCACAATTCTATAAACGCCTGATCGAGCATTGAAAAGATAAGACGTACATTTATTGAATTTTGGCCCGAAGTACTATTCCTCACTACTGGCGTGAGGGATTTTTCATAGCAGCCCTGCTCCTAGGCGTCATACTCAGGCATATTTGCGCTCATGTACACGCATACACGTGCAAGAGTATATATATACAAGTACACAAACTTCTCGTAATCATTAATACGAAATGTCCTTTCTGTTGGTAGCGTTCAGGGGATAAGGGTCGTAGGAAAGGAACGAAAGGACTGAATTAGCATACGTGAATTTCGTTAAGCCAACGTGAGTTTAACAACAACTGTTCAAAGGTTGTAAATGTACTTTTATCTATCATTTAGCATTTTAATAGATTTTGCGTTAACGTACCTTCTGTCCGTCACTATACGCAAGTATCGTTCAAATCAATCGACAATGTCTGCTAACCCCGAACAACCCAACGAGTGAGTACAGAGTGGAAAAACAATGATACATTGCATTAATTATTTTGCTAAATGTTCGCGAAGACGTGCTCCTTAGATCGATTGATATTAACATTAAAAATCGTCGTTGCTAGAATCGCTGTTGCCCTTTCTTGGGTCTTGGACTGAGCAGTCTAATTTTAAATGTTATTCTTGTTTTTCATGATGATTATTTATGGGATTATGTAATTAGCTATGGTAAGTCGTTTTCACTGCTGAGTGTTAAACATTTAGCTATTCCAGGTTGCCAAACCCACAGAGTAGGGAGACTGCCAAGGAACTGTATGCACAGAAGAAATACAAGGAAGCATTGAATGAATACAGCCAACTTATTGGTACCATACACTTATTCCATCAATCATCCTCGCTTTTACAATTTTATACTTTTAATAAAACAACTGTTTCCATAGAACAAAAACCCAATGAGGCATTGAATTATCTGAACAGGGCTGCCTGTTCTATAATGCTTATGAAGTATGACAGTGCCATAGATGACACTAAGAAATGTATTGAACTCGACAAAGAATTATACAAAGTATTCTGAACATGTAACTTTGAAATTATCTCCAATTAAGCGAACATTCCTTTACTCCGATCTATTCATGTTTAGGCATATATTAGACTTATGAAATGTCTGTTGATTGTGGGCGACATTATCCAAGCCGAAACCACCTTGTCCAGGTTGCTAGAACAGGATCCGAAGAACAAGGCAGTTGCTGTTCATCAAAAGGACTTGGAATACGTGAAAAGGTTTCTAAAAGACGGCGAATCCGCTTTCGCTGCCAAGGATTACCGTAAGGTTTGAGACGCAGCTTTTAAACAAACAGGTAAATAGCCATTCGGCCGATAGTTAATTCTCTGAGACCTTACGCGTGGTTTCAGGTCGTGTATTGCATGGATCGCTGCCTCGACGTCAGCAAGAGTTGCATTAAATTCAAATTGATCAAAGCGGAATGCCTGGCACTTCTGGGAAGATACCAGGAATCGCAGAAAATAGCGAAGTATATCGTCACTGATGAAATTTATTAAACGTTCTTCTATCATCATTGATGTTTCAGCGATATATTTCACATTCACCCAAAAAATGTGGACGCTATATACGTGCGGGCCGTATGTCTGTATTTCGAAGATAATATCGACAAGGCGTTCACGCACTTTCAACATGTACTTAAACTGGCTCCGGATCATACCAAAGCGTTGGAGATGTATAAACGAGCGAAGAGTCTTAAAAAGAAGAAGGAAGAAGGAAACGCTGCATATAAATCTGAGCAATATCAAAAGGCGTATAATCTGTACACGGAAGCTTTGGCAATCGATCCTCAGAACGTAGCAACAAATGCAAAGCTTCACTTTAACAAAGGGATGGTTGCAGCGAAGGTGCATATTTTTCATTCAAATTACAATTAAATGTGTTAATAATTTTGTTGCTCTGTAGCTGGGACGATTAAAAGAGTCGGTAACAGAATGTTCAGAAGCTTTGAAATTGGATGCAAATTACTTGAAAGCGCTCCTGAGACGAGCGGCTTCTTATATGGAACTGAAGGAATTCGAGGAAGCTACCCATGACCTGGAAAAAGCATACAAAATGGATAGTAGTCGCGGTAATTTACAATAATGCTATTAATAATTCGTTTATGCAACGATCTATTTTGTATTAATGAACCGAGAACGTTGATTGATTAGAAATCAACCGTTTATTGACAAACGCTAAGTTGGCGTTGAAGAAATCGAAGAGGAAAGATTATTACAAGATCTTGGGCATCGACAAGAACGCGTCTACTGATGATATTAAGAAAGCGTACAGGAAACGGGCGATGGTACATCACCCTGGTAAGTTTCACATTCCTCTGGATTGTTACCCCGTTAAATGAATTGCATTCAGATCGCGATGAGTCTAATTTTCAGATCGACATCCGTACGCAACCGAGGGTGAAAAGAAGGAACAAGAAAAGAAGTTCAAAGAAGTCGGAGAAGCCTATGGAATTCTTTCGGACCCGAAAAAGCGGTCGCGTTACGACAGCGGTGATGACTTAGATGACATCGACAATGCATTCCAAGGTTCGTCTACTCTTTAAAAACGCATCGGTGTTTCCTATTCTAACAATGTTTGTAATGAATGTTCGCAGATATGGATCCTAACGCACAATTCCGATCGTTCTTCACTCAACACGGTGGTTACTTCCACGATTATTTCCACTTCGGTTAAGAGCATTCCACCGGCACCCGTTCTACGACAACTTCGATGTTCTAAGTGGACTGTTTATTCTAGAGATGAGTATATCAGATTTGTGTACCTTCCATTGCTAGCAAGTACCCATATTTTCAAGTAGCATACATAATACAAAACCTACTAGATATAGTTTTATATATTTATTTAAAACAAATGTAAATATGTCGTATACGGTATGATATCTAAGGACACATTATATCTAGATCATATTCCAATAAGTGCGACTGATGAGTATCGAGGATTGCAGCGACTATCCTCGACGAACATGATTTTTTGACAATGTCCTTGAATTGATGTAGGTACTTATAAGAAAACTATATTCCCTTACCTTCCACCGTTCATCAATGTTCAAGTGTTAGTTTCTATCAAACCAAACGTAATATACTTTCCAAAGTTATCTCGAGTTACACGTGCGTTTAAATCACTCTTAATAAAATTAAGTATTGTATCGAGCAATGAGTTTACAATTGTTATCGAAAGGGTAAACGACGAAGACGACTGAATAGAAGAACGAAAGCGTGATAATGATCGTTGACATTATTTTGCGATTTGTAAGAAAATAATATGTTGACTATCTTAGTTATCCCTCGATCGAGGAACGACGTTGTTCACATACCACATTCGTTCAAATAAAGAGCCCTTCTCGTTCTTTTTATCGTTTATTCAAATACAAATTGTATTCTAAAAAAAAAAAAAGAATTTAACTGTCCAAAATAAATTATTGAACGCTGGCTGCTCTTCTCTGGAAAGGTAACGCAATTTTTGAACCAAGCGCGGGCTAGATCGAACAGATCGTACATTGCCTTTCCTATTTTTCATCCAGGCTTCGAACTCTGTGTTCTAATCGTCCCCTGTTTGCAGACCGCGCGAAGTCCTCCATTCTTGAGTACCAAACCTATTACTTTCACTTGGTTGTTCCCATAAACGAAGTTACTATCCGCGATATTCTCATTTAAATATATATAAATATTCTCATTTATATATAAGGCACGCTACAATGGTCACAGCTTGAAAATACAAAGGATGTGAGAATTCCCGAAACTTATATAAATTCGCTTCGATCGACGGCGGGAACATAAGGCACGCGTTAGCTAAAATATATTCTTCTTTCCTCTCGTAAACCGCAGAAAAAACGCGCGATAGCACCTATTTATTTGTCCTGTTCAGACAATTAAAAATTCACTCCGTTAAAAGTATATCCTATTCTCTTTTTAGCGTAAATCTTTAATCGTCGTACTTTGAGATAGCATATTCTCATCAACAATACTTTCACAATACGTTTAATATTATTGAGCTTGGAGATAGGATTTAAAAATATACTGCGTCAGGTCTTTAAGATAAGTACTTGGGTTTTTAAGTAATTTTAAGTAACCGTTTTATCAAATAAATTAACAAGGAACATTTCCTTTTCTGCTATGATACACTTTAAATACTACAGTAATTGAATAAATTTTTGTCGTACTTTGTTAAAATTGATTGATCGGTTAATTAAAATCTGTGCATCAGGTAAACACATATTCGTTTTCGGTCGAAGATAAAACGAGTACCATAGCTGCAATCTTACACGTACAGCATGAGTACATAGTAAGAAAAAAAATTACGCTTGATGGTATATACATATATACAAAGTAGCCTACTAAAAATCCTGAATTAACGTTTGTGCTATAACACAGTATTTCTCAGGCCTATTTATTCGATTCGTTATAGGACGCCCTACCCGCCAGCTCGAGTAAGTAGCGATCCGGATGATCGATCCAATCACTGGCGCTCAACTTGACGATCCTCTGCCTCTCCGCTTCCTTCACTTGCCACTTCTTAATCTCCAGTTGACGTTCCCTAAGGAACGAGCATCCATGATTAACACACACAGTTTCCAAATATTCATAATCTCCAAATCCGGATGAAAGAAGTACCTTGACTTCGTATTTCCGCAGCCCCAAACTTCCAAGCTACTGATCGGGTAAGGTGCACCTGAAATACTGACCGACTGGAATGATTCGTCTATGCTGATGTTCGGAGAGCGTGGATTGCTGCCGAACCGCAACCCGTGAGGATAGCCCCTGATACTAGTGTTCAAGTACAACACTTTGGGCCCCTTTTCGATCACCTTGTACGATGGGAACAGCTCGATGGCCATCGAGTCCTCGTCACCCCAATACAAATGGCTCTCGCGCCATTCCAACGATGAGCATATACAGTACGTGGGAGCCACGGTACTTTTATCAGGGCTAATAGCCTTTATGAACAGAAGAGTGGGACCCCGGTATCCTAACACGTGATGGAGAAAACGATTAGCACCTGTGCCGTGTTCCGAGCTGTGGTACAACAAAGTCCAATGTCTCGGGTACACGTTGCCCATTCGTTTGGCCATCAGCGCATGGGGAGTATCCGTCGGCGAATCATCTACCTAAACGAATATTTATCCCGTTACGAAGAGATTGCGTCGACGGATTCGCCCGCAAGAATACCTGAAGATAACATTGAGGTAATGTGCTGGATAGCAGCCATACGTAGCTGGCAGGCAGTAAGGACTGAGAGAAGTCTATGGACTCCGGCTGCTCCAATATTGGCGTGGGTATCTCCAAATGCGGTTGCGGTTGTTCCTTGGACAACAGAGCCTTGCCGTTTCGGTACGCGGTCGTGAGTACGTGTATCACGTAGCGATGGGGGCCGTATATCACTCGTGGACAATGCTGCCAGATCCAGTTGCTCACGTAACTCACGGACAACGCGTATTTCCCGTGAAACTGTAACATACGTTTCATAGTCGTATTTCCGACTCCGATAGGACTTTCTTAATTGAGACTTTACTGACACATGACGATACGGCCGCGTCCATGATCAGATCCGCGTACAGGCAAGAAGGAGCACCGGTGCTGTCCACAGCGATCTTATAAGACATGTTCAATAAGGCCTTCAATCCTTCAGGGCTCATGCCACCGTCCCCTTTCACGTTCGAATATAATTTAACATAATTTTCTAGTACAATGTGATCATTCATTACTGAGAGGAACTTTTCGGCTTGTTGCTTGAAAGCATTCGCGCTCAGATGCGAAGTGTTCACGTTGGCAGAACAGTAGAGATAATCGAACAGCTTGTCACCCAGATCTGGATAATTTGGAAAGAGGTACCGTTGAAACACAGATTTCGTGATGCCGTGCACATGTTCCTCTTCGTGGCTCAAATGGGACAGAGTCTGGAATGTGAAATAGCTTGTTTCATACATTTATTAAAATGAAGTCTGCACTTGCGCATTAAAATTGTATCTTGCCAGGTTTTGCAAGTATAAGCAGCAGTTTCGTGTTTATTAAAATTTTCCAACCCAAGCCAAGAATAATCTATAACGATTTTTGCAACGCAATAACGTTATCTATGAAAATCGAGTTACATCAATAGGTCTGAGTACAGATTAAAGATATAATAGAATCTATCAAAGAAATTCAGAATCCAGCACAGGTATTGAAAATAACGTGATATACAAAACATTCACGAAGCGTCTGTGCAAAGTAGTTTATTTTGAAACGAGAAATTCTTCGCAACAATGGATCTACAAACAACGATCATTATTGCCCGCGATTCATCGAGCAAATTTTGTTTCCCATTCGAAAGACAAATGAGGTTTAGAGGATATGACTTATTCGTACCTTCGCCAGACTCTCGATTGGGAAGAATTGCATGTGCGAATTGCTTTCTAGCTCGGTTCCTGAAGAACTTTTTGAAAGGCTATTCGCGTTCGCTGTGTCGCCGGCGTTCGCGACTGTATCAGTCTTCTTGGTGGCTGCGTGTGCACCACGCGACGCTTGATTTCCCATTTTTTCACCTCGGCCCGACGTTAAACCATCAACGAGTTCGCTCTAATGTTTAGACGTATCATCGCTCGCGGCGGCAACAAAACAACCGTGCAACCATATGCAACTTTCGAGAGCTCGTCACGAATGATACGGAAGCGAGTGGTGCGCTCGCAGCACCGTGGATGATACGCAGGTTCTCAGAAAAACCGATTGCACGTTCAAGCGTGTTCCAAGAACATTCGATAAGAAATGATACTAAAAAATGTTATAAATGTAGCTTTTTAATACTTGTATCGTAGTCGACGTGAAATAAATAACACGTGAAACTGTTTCCACGTTAGATACTCTCGTATTTTCGCGGACTGGGTGGCCATTTTACGTTTAGAAGCGCACGCACTCATCATCCTCATTAGCGCGTGAGATTTGGGGGGTGGGGAGAGTTCTTTTCCAAAAGCGTGCATCGCCTGTCATCGGGAAAAAATTTGTCGGTGAGAACTCTTTCTCCACGCCAGGCCGTGAAAAATATTCACGCGACAAGCCCGAAACGTTCGCGCTAGGATCCGGCCGATTTTTCTTTATTTCTCATCCGCCGTACACGTTGTTCATGCGACCCGTCTAATTCGTGCCGTAGACAGAGTGCTCGAACGGATAAAGGGGAGGTGAGACGTCAGATAATCACTGTTTCGTGAGTATAACGCGCGTTCCGAGACGCGGCGGTGTTCCACGGCTTCAGGGGGTGGCTATTCGCAGGAGCAGGGTGCGCACTTCCAAATAAGGTGCTCCCAAATGATCCAGCCGTTCGTGTCAATAGCGCTACTACGTGGTCGTTCGCAGAATTACGGCGCGACGTTATTGCTATCCGGCGGGAACGTTGATGTGGCCACCGAGGCGGATTCGTTTTTTCTAAAAAGGGAAATTGTCCTCGGATGCATCTGTTGCGCTGGTCGTTATCATCGTTAATACACGCGGCTGTTTTAATCGCGGGACGTGTGTGGTCGCGCTTGGACATGTTCGTGTGCGTGTATCCGTATACAAACACGTGGTAGATTAGATACAGTTTGTGCGAGAGGATAGCAAGCAGTCGGCGTCAATCTGTTGACGATAGCAGAACGACTAATCGGGACGTGGAAATTTATTCCGTTTCGTTAACTTTCCATCGGCATTGTTCGATGTGCGGGATAAACGCAGCCTCGATGAAATTGTTCGTTGATCCATGAAGATTCTCGAGCGTTCGTTGCAACGGGGTGAAATAGAGGAACCACGCTCGGCGGGTGACTGATAATAGATGTAGCTTCTTAACAGTTGAAGGTGAATCATTCTGTAACTAATCAGTGGCGCGAAGAAAAGAGATAATCCGCTCCACTTAGTCCGGTACGGTCGTACGGAAAACCGATTTCTAATATGTTAATACGGCCGCACGTTTAATTGAAACGCGAGACGAATACGATTGACCCGTTTAGGTCCTCCAGCTCTACCCTTCCGGGGATCGTTTCCCGATATTTTGGCATAACGTCAAAAATCGCCGCGGCACGGATTTGGTCGTGGACAATTCGTCCGGAAATATCGAAATAGCGTTTATCCGCGCCTTAGACGGTACCGTAGCCCGCGGCAGCGGCAGCGGCTGCTGCCGTCTCCTAACGAGTATAGTAATGTAAATTCAGGAACGCTATGACGATCGGCGTGAATCATCGTCGCATAAAAGCGGCGGCCGGTTTATTTCGGGTGGATCCGATCTATCTCGCGTTTGACCAACTACGGCCTACTGAATATTTGCGAAATAACCGCGGATCGACCCCGTAGTCGGATGCGGCCACGGCAGGATCTCGTATCAGTACTGGTAAACCGTAAAAGTCAACATTGGAAAAATATTCTTATTTCGGTCGCGCTCAATTTCGACACGCGGAGGGTGGGGAATCTATTTATAAAACGGGGATGGTCCACGCGACGCCCACGCTGCCGGTGGGCACGTAACAATAATTTAAGGGAAATATTGTAATAACCGGCATCGACCCCGGCCACCACCGGGGCGTGCCACGTTTTTCCACGTACGTATTAAGGTTAATCGTGCACGTTCTGTTCACCACCGAGTATAGGTGCAGATATGTCTTTCCGTGTGGTGCGCAGCAGCAAGTTCCGCCACGTGTACGGGACCGCGTTGAAACGTGAGCAATGCTACGACAATATAAGGGTGTCCAAGTCTTCGTGGGATTCCACCTTCTGCGCGGTGAACCCAAAGTTTCTTGCCATCATCGTGGAGTCAGCGGGCGGCGGTGCTTTCATAGTCCTGCCGCACAACAAAGTGAGTATCTCGCACGACTCTTCTCCCAGCTCCTCTTTAGTTGGACGAGATTCAATTGTTCTGACATTTAGAAACGTAGTGTTGACCGATGTTCGTGTCGTTGTAGGTTGGTCGGATACCGGCAGATTACCCGTTAGTCGGTGGACACAAAGGTCCCGTGTTAGACATCGCATGGTGCCCCCACAACGACAACGTCATCGCGTCTGGCTCCGAGGATTGCGTGGTCAAAGTATGGCAAATACCGGACGGTGGTATTTCCAGGACGTTGACAGAGTCCGTGGTCGACCTGCAGCTGCACCAGCGGAGGGTCGGCCTCGTGCTGTGGCATCCATCTGCGTTGAATGTGTTACTCACTGCCGGCTCTGACAATCTCGTCTTGATCTGGAACGTTGGTACAGGGGAGGCCCTGGTGCGAATAGAATGCCACCCGGACATGATCTATTCCGCATGTTGGAACTGGGACGGATCCCGTATAGTCACTACTTGTAAGGATAAGAAAATCCGTATCTTGGACCCGAGGAACGGGGAGATACTGGAGGAGGCCATCGCGCACGAGGGTAGCAAAGCTACGCGCGCGATCTTTCTCAGGTATGTTGATTTCCTTTCAGTGAGTAGTCGCACATCGCACGACAGGCAGTTAATTACAATTACTTCTGCTATTACGCACACGAAGGCTGAGATCAGTAATGTATATATATGTATACGTCTCTAGGGATGATGTATAAACACTGTCAACATATCTTTCACATTGAATAATCATCAAACAATATACATCCGCCTTTTTACACGGTTAAATTGTATCTAGGGAAAAAATATGTTCACGAGCTGGCTGTAGTATCTTTTAATGACATGTGATTATTGATCATACTTCTATCTGCACATTAACGATCTCCTTTATTTTTTATTATCACATCGTCTTTCCGATTTGTGTAGTGCGAGATTTGGTATTTTTTAATGGAATACTTGAAGATTGAAAATTCGGCTCGCATCGAGAGGATGTCGACTTAATTAATGCAAATGTCAGGATGTCCGCTGTGTAGTATCCGCATAAGAGTTGTCAGTAAGTATCGTATATCAAGTTATTACATTTAAGATATAACATTTCGTGTAGACGGAGAAGATGCGTAAAAGTTGACAAACACGAGCGAAATAACTGCACTAATATAAAGATCTTAATTAATAAGAATGTATTTGACATCTGTTTCGAAAGGCAGACAGATCGATTCAGGTCTTGAATCCAGTGACCGAACGAGGTGCGCTGATTTTCACTTAAAATGTAATCGACACAATTCTTTAATGACCATTCTACTTGGTCTATTATTTGACACGCGTGCATTTGAGAGTTTCTGCAGAGCCGCAATTATCGATTGTTGTAACAAGGTGGATGTTATTCAGTTTTGATGATTAACTTGATTAAAAAAAGAATCAATAAAAATTGCAAAGATATAAGAAAAGAGTCAGTGAGATATTTTCATAGGAGCTTATGTTTGTACGTACGGATGTATGTTTTTAGAAGACGCCCTACTAAAGCTTTGTATCCACAGAGATGTGTGTTTGGTATGTTTTCAGGGGAGGCTTGATCTTTACCACAGGTTTCAGTAAAATGTCCGAGAGGCAGTATTCGCTGCGCGCCCCGGACATGCTCGGCGAGCCGATAGTCATGGTAGAATTAGACACGAGCAACGGAGTCATGTTCCCCTTGTACGATCCCGATACGAATTTAGTCTACCTATGCGGCAAGGGCGACTCTGTGATCCGATACTTCGAGATTACCCCCGAACCTCCCTTCGTTCATTATATCAACACGTTTCAAACTCCTGATCCTCAACGAGGTATAGGAATGATGCCAAAACGAGGCTGTGATGTTAATAGCTGTGAAATAACTAGATTCTACCGGCTCAACAACTCAGGCTTTTGCCAGGTTATCTCCATGACTGTACCAAGAAAGGTACAATATATCCATCGTATACGTATATCGAGCGCGCAATTATTTCCCGATCTATTTTCATCGGCTAAACATCGTTCGCTCGTTTACAGTCTGAACTATTTCAAGAAGACTTATACCCTGACACGCCGGGCGACACCGCGGCAATTTCCGCTGAGGAATGGGTAGGTGGCAACGACGGTGATCCCATCCTGATATCGCTAAGGGACGGTTATCAACCATCGGCGGCTAAGAACGAGCTAAAGGTGCACAAGAAGTCGAACATCTTGAGCAAAGGGGCGAAGGTCGCATCGAATCCCTCGCAGAACGCTACGCAAGCCTCGGGCATTACTGTACGTTTCTTCTTCCTCTTTCTCTTTGCCGTGATGATTTTAAAGCGAACGGTCGTCGTTCTTTTTTTACAGGAGGACCTGCTGAAGGAGTTCACGGAGGAGATAAGGAAGTTGAAGGCGGTGATAGTGAAGCACGAGGGCAGGATACGAGTCCTCGAGTCTGCGGTCGCTCTTCAAATGAAGGAAGAGGAGAGAAAAGAGAAGTCGTCGTCACCCACCGACAGAGAGGTGCTCGCCTCCGACGAGGTGTAATTTCTTCGACTCATATCGCTAGCTCACGAGATTGACATGACGGAGGGAAGAAAAAGATAACTAATTGTGTAATAAAAAAATGATCATATATTTTGATATAACAATTTGTGTAAATAGTAGGGTTTAGCTACGTTGTGTGTCTCAAGTTCTTTTCTCTCTCTCTCTCTCTCTCTCTTTTTGAAATGATTTTTTTTTTCTTTTTGCTATTTATTGTACATCCGTTCATCATACATCCTTTGCATTTGTATTATGTTTACATCTTTTATTTTGTTAGGTCGTAGCCGACGTATGACACCACCTGTTAATAGCGTTAAGACTTCGGATGTTATTTTATGTCTAAAACACAAGACCTTCGTGTACATTCATTCTTATCTATTGTCCAGCAAGGAAAGAACGATTTGTACAGGTTGCATCTCTCTGTGTAAAGTTGTTGCGTAAAGATTGTTTTATCTCCCGGGAACGTGCAGTGCATAATTCCTATGCAAAACCGTGCTACGTAGGAAAGAAAAAAAAAAGAAAGGAATCGGTAGAACGAAAGAATCGCTCTATTTTACGAACGAATTTGCGAGTAACAAATAATAAGGTATTTTTGACTAATCCGTTTTTTGACATTGTGAAACGAAACCATTTGTTTTGTACAAAAATATGTGAATATAAAATAATATAATTGATTGAGCCCCAAATTCACTGTCGTTTTCTTTTTCACATTCACCGGATAAATGATTTTTTCCTTCGAAGGAACCGCCGTTCGAAGTTTTGTCCGATCGCCGCGAGGTGACGGCGACGCCGTCAATTCACCGTGACGCTTGATACGTTCGCTTAAGGTTCATTCGGTGCGCTGGGTGCGAGCGGAGTCAGTGAAATGTGTGCCGGCATCCTCGTCGATTATGTGCACCGTTAATTTTTAGTTTGATCCGCACTTACCACCACCACTGTGCGCGGGTGTCTTCAAGAATCCGATTACTTGTCAATCCGTATCACAGTGAGTAACGTTCAGTCATCCCCATTGACGATCGTCGACAGTCGCTGCGGCAGGTTTCACTCCCGCGAATCCATGACTTTAACCATCCTCCACCCACGATGTCTCGTTCGATCTTTCATTTGAGTTGTTCATCGAAATTCGTCTAACCGAATACTCGTACGGTCATTGTTCCCTCGAACAGGGAGGGATGGCGCGTTGGGGTGGACGGCTCGCCCGCTCCGTCAAAGAATAACGATTATTTATGATGTTTCATTCACGGTCGAACGTGTTCGCGTATTTCTTTAATTTACAATAACCGTGACGTGCGAACATGTATTGTAGAACGTTGAGGCCTACAATATAAATGACATCGAAGGCATTTGGCACGAGGTTCCCCGGTGCTATTTTAAACCGCAGCTTTGCGACATCATTCTCGACTATCATCTTTCGCGTTATCGCAGACAATGTACGAGTTAGTCGAATACTCAAATCCCAACTGAAATCGAAAAGTATCGCGAAAGGACAAGTGTTGTCAGCGCGCCGCACCTCGCGAGGAGGCGAACAGGCAGAATGACTTTTTACGAGATTCAACCAGTTCCCACCCGTTCGGAACTGGTTTCCCATTCACATTTTTCGGCATTCTCGTGGGGGAAAAGAATCGGCAAGGACGCAGCGAAAGAAATCTTAATTCACCGATTAACGCAACTCGCGAGTTACGTAATTCCACGTGTTTCAGGGAACTATGAAGGTCTATCGAGCTATGCGATGTAAATTACAATTTTTCGACAATCGTACGTCGGTTGTGGACAACCACAATGTAATAAACCTTACGATAATAAGTTTCCTCCAGATCTCTTGTCCGCGGTCATTAAATTCATCTGGATGGTCGTATACGCGAATTAAAACACGTCGGTAAAAAAAGGAATAATGCGTCAGCAGCACGTGCGTCCGATTCGCACGGTACGACTCGTGGCTCTGTTCAAATTTGGTCCACTTACTATTTTTATAAACGTATAATCATGTCGTTCAGCGTAAACGTAATTACACACGTAAGATGACCGTTTCGCATCCTGGAAACGATCATCGGGAGAAGAAACGAGAGAAACGTGCGAAATTATCTTCTGGACTAAAAAAATCTACGAATAAAATAGAGGGTGGCCATGTTTTAACTGGAGCCACGTTATCAGTTAACAGAACTCCTCTTTTTTTCGCAAAGGTATTTCTTTTTATTTATTTACTTTCTATTTCTGTTCACAACAAACAATTTATTATCAAGAAATGGCGTCTGTGAATATCGCGCAAACTTAAAGCTGTAAAAAATTGGCCAATCTGTCGAGAATTGTTACAACATCGCAGATATTATGTACTTGCGAAGGTACGCCAGAGTCCGAACGATTCCTTCGGCAAACAAATGAGATTAGCCTTGCGCGTCACATGGCGCGTAAGGCGTTATCAGTAATTATCAATTACGTACTAACTAATAATCTGCAGCTCGTAAAACTGGATCGTTATCAGTCTCTCGAAACTGATTTACTAGCTCGTCTCTCTAATGATCGACGACGGATAGAAAAAAAATGGTAAATCGAGCACGCGTGCTGCGGTTCATCAACGCTAGCGACGCAGGAAGTTTTTAAAAGCGTATCCCAGCGTAATTTACTTTGCACTCGGCTCTGTCGATCGGCAGACGATGGTTACGTCACCGCACGCGGTTCTACCACGAAATTACACGCGCGATTGTCTCGTGTGACACGTCGGAATGCCACATGATACGAGCGAGATACAGAAACGGCACCGTCACGTGCTAGCTAAAGAGGAAAAGTATTCCCGGGATATCTGCCAATCGGTCTCTAAGACCGAACCGGTCACCCGTGATTATTGATAAAACCGTGGCCGTTTTGATAAACGAACTGATCCCTCGATTCGATTAACGATTCGATTCGACTCGTAGGAACAATGGACGAGCGATAGGATTGCTTCCTTCTTCATTTCCTTGTCAGCAACGGGTCGCGCACATTGCACCTGTTGATAGGCTGCCAAATAACGTGGCCGGTGATTCATTAAATAGATCAGGGCCAACGGGATAACCGGTCAACAAATTGCATCGCAGTCGTCTGATTTATCTTATCGAGAAAAATTGGTATCCGATACGAAAAATTGCCAGCCACTTATCATCGTTCGTAGAGGCACCGTACCGTCCCGTAACCCATTCGTCCATCCGGTAATACGTTCTTTCAAGACTCTTATCGTTCTCATTACGTAATTTACGTTTAAACCGGCGAGTGACGCGATCAACGGTCGATGTAAAATGCTATTTCACGTTTCCGTTTTCCAGATATTTCCTGAGAGATCGTCCCTACCGTTCTCCGAACGACGTTAAGAAATGGCATCGCTGAAACTGTTAGTGGGGGGCGCCAGCGCTATTGGTGCCAGTGCCCTTACCTCTTATCTGTTAATGTCTGACAATACCGTAAGTACTTGTATATAAAAGTAATTAAGAGCGTGGCTCGTTTCTTAATCATTTCTTTCACGTGAACCGATGATCGTGTAATCGAATGGAACTTTCCTACTGAAAGTGACGCAGTCGTCGTACTTTTTGTTTTTCTTAAAAAAAGATACAGGTTCTCGTTACCGTTACGAGCATTTTTGCGCGCTATTTTAATTGCGACGGAAAATCTTAACGCCGATACTGTAACCGTGATCTATGTGCAATGTATCAAGGTTGCGTAGCGATCAGCCAGCAGTCACGTGGTCGGTACCAAAATTTTACCGCTGGCGCAAGGTCTGTGCCAGGCCAGGACCAGAGCTAACAACCCTGCCCGACTATTTCTACACGTTATTGTTCCTCGGCGACGAGATTTTGCACGCATGACGATCACGCGATCGTCGGCACGACGGTAGAAAAATGTTGAAGGAACTCTTTATTGAATAAGAGACACGCGTACCCAATCGAATTATCACAGCCGTTATACAAGGCATGGCGGTCGGGGGCCCTGTTATCACGATAATTGCCTCGAACCCGACGGCGGATGCTGTTCGATTTACGCTAATAAATATGCGACGATTGCCCTTTGACTCCCTCCAATTGTACTTATACACTATTCTTTTGCATAAAGAGAAATGGGAAACCGACATATAGAATTTTTTGTTGTTCATAGGTACATGCGGAGTTGCCAAAACCTAGGCCACCGAGGAGGACGTTACCGAGCAGGGAGGATCAGGTGAATACACTGAAGAATCATGGGGAATACGATATTCTCATCATCGGTGGTGGTGCGACGGGAGCCGGCTGTGCGTTGGACGCCTGTACACGAGGTAATTACGTTTTCTTATCTCTGAATTCCTTAATGAGTCTCAACGTGCACAAATTATTCGATACGAACGTTTATATTTAAATATTAATGCGTCTATTTCTGTTCTAATGACGTGTGTTTATCGCAGGTTTGAAAACGGCGATGATCGAAGCGGACGATTTTGCTTCCGGCACGTCTTCCAGAAGCACGAAATTGATCCATGGAGGCGTACGGTATCTGCAAAAGGCGTTGATGCAGTTAGACGTCGAACAGTACAGAATGGTCAAAGAGGCGTTACGGGAACGAGCGTCGATGTTGCACAGCGCGCCTCATCTGGCTCATCCTCTGCCCATCATGTTGCCCGTTTACACGTATGTCAGTCCCTGAACCGTGTTCGCGTTACGCAGTGATGTATTTAGAATTTTATGGATTACTTTCGTTGTTCAACAGGTGGTGGCAGATACCTTACTACTGGTTCGGTATAAAAATGTACGACGTCGTTGCCGGAAGCAAGACTTTAAAATCGTCCTATTTCCTCCGAAAATCGAGCGCGTTAGAATTATTCCCTATGCTAAAAGGAGACAAGCTGACCGGAGCTATCGTTTATTACGATGGTATATTCTCATAGCGTTCGTCCTGTTTTTATTTTCATTTAAAAAGCCTAAATTTTATATCGGTTTGATGTAACAGGTCAGATGGACGATGCCAGAATGAACTTGGCAGTCGCCTTAACTGCCTCGCGGCATGGTGCCACAGTTGTTAATCACGTAAAAGTAGTCAATCTCATAAAAGGTCTCGATAAGGTAAAGACACTGATTTTATCTATGATCGTGAACGCGATTGCAGAACAATAAGAACAGATAGCTTATCGTACGTAACGTTTTTGCTTCGCGAAGGATGGCAATCGGGTACTTACCGGCGCTCGTGTCAAGGACGAGCTCACCGGCGAGCAATGGGACGTCAAGGCGAAAGCGATCATAAACGCGACCGGTCCATTCACCGATCATATCAGAAAAATGGACGACCAGAACGTGAAAGAGATCTGCAGTCCCTCTTCGGGCGTTCACATCGTTCTTCCTGGTTACTACAGGTAAACGAAAGAAGTTTAATTCATTCGAGCTATCATCGTCGAATGAGTTTACGATGACCATGCGGGAATTTGACACAGCCCCGACCAGATGGGTCTGCTGGATCCAGCGACGAGCGACGGCCGAGTGATCTTCTTCTTACCCTGGCTGAAAGAAACGATCGCAGGAACGACCGACATGCCCTGCGAGCTAACACATAATCCGAAACCCACCGAAGACGAGATCATGTTCATCTTGCGCGAGGTGAAGAACTACCTAAACCCGGACGTAGAAGTCCGTCGTGGAGACGTACTGTCCGCCTGGAGCGGAATCAGGCCTCTCGTCTCCGACCCGAACAAAGGAGACACTCAGTCCCTCGCTAGGAATCACATCGTACACGTGAGCCCCACGAAACTTGTCACGATAGCTGGTGGCAAATGGACGACGTACAGACACATGGCCGAAGAAGCAGTCGACGCGGCTATTCAAGCCTGTGGTTTGAAACCAGACAGACCCTGCCAGACGGACGGTTTCCTCCTCGAAGGTGCTCAAGGTTGGACGCCGACCATGTACATCAGACTGGTGCAGGACTTCGGGTTGGAGTGCGAGGCCGCGCAACATTTAGCCCAGAGTTACGGTGATCGTGCATTCGCCGTGGCAAAGATGGCTTCTCTCACCGGTAAAAGGTGGCCGGTCATTGGCAAGAAGATTCATCCCGAGTTCCCGTACATCGACGCAGAGGTATACTTGTAACATCCTTTCTCGTTCGCTGTGTCGCTAATGATTTGTTGGTTTCAGATTCGGTACGGATGTCGCGAATACGCGAGAACGGCTATCGACATGATCGCGAGACGATTGAGACTAGCGTTCTTGAACGTGCAAGCCGCGCAAGAAGCCCTCCCGGGTATCATCGATATCATGGCGGAGGAGTTACGCTGGTCCGAGGACGAAAAGAAAAAACAATTCAAAGAGGCGAACGATTTCCTTGCTAACGAGATGGGACAGATGGTGAACCGCGCCTCTCGCGACAAGATTCCTATCAACCTTACGAAAGAAGAGATTCAACTGTACATCAAACGTTTCGGTATCATCGATAAAGACAACAAGGGCTACGTTTCTATAAACGATATCAGGAGAGGACTCAAGGTTCGAGGACTCTATTTCTTTGCTGTCATTGATCAAGATTACGCTTTTGTTTAATTTTCTTTTTTTTTATCCGTTTCTTTCGTCACACGCTTGTCGATGCACAGGTACTCGGCATTAAGCTGAACGAAGACGAGATTCACACTTTGCTCAATGAAATTGATCTCAATTACAATGGGCAAATGGAGCTACATGACTATCTGCAGGTAAATCTTTAGAACACTTATTTAATCGGTACCTCTTTTTCTTTGCCGTTCGCAGCTGTTCGGTGACAAGGAGGTGCCTGGTGAAGAGCTTCATGAAATACTCCGCGAAATCGACACTAATATGAACGGTCAGGTCGAGTTGGACGAATATCTTCAGGTCTGTGAAAGCTCGCACGCACGGAGTCTTGTCTTGCTGCCGCTTTCAACTTTTTCCTTTTTGTTTGCATTCACATATACCACGTGTACAGTCAACGTATAACGTTCAGATTCTTATCGTTACTTAACACCTCTCTCGGGGGTCGAATCGTCTAAAAAAAAATCGAAGGAGACCTGTTGGATAGAGATAGATAGACCCGTAACATTTTTTGATCTCGTAGTTCTCTATAACAAATGTACATTCTCTCTTTTTCTTTTTATAATCCTCGCACGAACAATCTTAGAAGGTATCTCGGTAGGCAGTTTATCTAATTAAGGATGTGGTTATTGTCTTTAACAGTGAGCCAGTCGAACCTCTCCGCTTCCTTTTTCTTATTTATTGCAAAACGTTCAGTCCAACGTTTAACGTATCATGCTGCTCTTGCTGCCAGGTCGCAGTACTGTGACTGAGTTTCAAATTTCGTGAAGCGTCGCCGCGGCCTTGTCTTCTGATAATCAGAACATTGATCCCTGTACTGTTCACGCAGATGATGTCGGCCATCAAATCCGGACACGTGGCGTACTCGCGATTCGCAAGGATGGCAGAGATGGAGGAGGCCAAGCACGAACAAGAAGTGTTGAAGAAACAGATCAGCGTCGAGAGATCTGGCGGTGGACTGTAAGAAGAGGTGGAAGCGGAAAACGTGGTCCACGTTCTGCGGCATTGTACGATTTACCGTATCGCTTGTAAAACGCGGTGACAGCACACGTTCCAGCTCAGCTCTGCGACGAATACCTTTATATCACAGGATCCACTTCGTTCACACTGAACTTCGATTCGTAGCCCGTTTCTAGTACAAAACGCTCCTATAGGGTATCTTAACACTTTTACCAGACCTATACACGTATTTACTCGTAAGTACTTTGTACAACGACCGTTTCGTACTTTCGTTGTATCCGGCTTTCGAGCATCAACGAGAATAAGGAGGATAGGGAAAGGAATATTCGATCGCGCAAGTAAGTGTAAATCGATTACCACTGCGCCGAATTTTTTTCACTACTTCTATATAGACGTGCGACGAATTTCTCATTTTAATATGTAAATATATACCTTTCTGTACAGCGTTTCAGTTATCGATCAGCTAGAGCGGGTGCGTTCTAATTTGTATATATGTATAGGCCCTGAAAGTGGCCACGCGATTATTAAAAAAAGGAATAATGATAGAGAAGAGAGAAGATGTGTCGAACGCATGGTTGGATGTTAACGTTGCACGTCGGGTCGGTGCAATTTTCAGGGAACTTGTACGACGCTCTCCGACGGAAACGCTCAAAGGCCCGTGGCTATTTATCGGCCGCGGGCACAAGTTTTAAACGGCGTGATCAACGAGCTTCACGCTTTCGTAATTACCGAAGATCGATAGTCACAAAAGACCGACCCCGGTGTAGTCTGGTAAAGGGGAAGGCAGAGGAACATGCAATAACACAACAAATTAATTTTGTTTCTTTGTTACTATTCACTTGGCTGTAAATTGTAATTGTATTTGTGAACTGGATTCACTTGTCTAGGTACAGTACTACGTTATACTTCTTGTGACATAGTCCACGCACGCGCCATCGGAAGCTCGATGTTACTTTTCAAACACCCTCGACGATGGATTTATTTATAAGTTTATCGCTAATCTAATACTAGAGAAAAATCAGTCAACATAGTTTATCGAATTATTTAAATACGTAACTGAAATACTTATTTAATTTATTGCCGCTAACGTCACGCAGTCACGACATACGATCGATGTTAGAGATTAATTTATTTCACTTGTCATTAGTCATTGCCATTGACTTTAAATAAAAACCCATATTGGACTATTATCACTGTACCAGAATTTCTGCTGCGGATAATCCTTATTATTTTTGTTTGTAGGCCAACCAAACGTACCTGAAAAATCCTTGTCGTCCAACGTCATTACTTATTAGGATACGTTACACCTAAATCCCTGTGCTTTTTACTGCTTTTCCTATCTGCTAAATAATAAATGAGTTGCGGAGAAGCCGCGTTACTACGCGCTCAGCGAAATCGATGATCGGAAGCCTCTGAAACAGAAAATCTGGAAATGAAATTGGAGCGTAGCCTTCGGAATTGTAACCAGTCGCTCCATACATGGCCAACTAAAGCGATATTCGTGATGCTGGCCTCCCGATTATGAAAAGAAGGGCGGCGGCATAGCGAGGGAGTATTATCAGCTCCTCCCTTCACCGGATCCGTCGTCTTCGTCTGGCAATCAGTTTAATGCTGGCATGGTCAGAGTTTGGCGTGGAATCCCCCACCGCGTGCTTGCGACCCTAGGTGGGACAAACGTCACGGGCGTAACAACGTCTTCTGCTATAAAAATCACTTCCAGAATACCGTACAACACGTATCCTATTACCATACATCAAAATTTCCATCAGATCAAAGTGATTTCCTTTATAATTCCCTGAATGTAAAATTTTAGGGCGATGCATCTCGATGGTGAATACTCGGGTTCCTCGAAGCACCCTGCGTTATTAGTTCAGCTGTACGCGTCTGTCACGCACATTGCAACGATGAACCCCGGTGCAGTGGCTGGCACGAGCCTCAGTTTAAGAGAGAGCGAGACGGAGGATGATAGAGTGATAAAGGTGACGTTGATATTCGCGATCCCGCTCGAGCGTGGCCTTGGCCGGGGGGGTTACGGGTAAAAAGAGGGGAAGGAAGGCCAGAGAAAGTAGGAGGTGCGCATCGTTTGTCCCTCTTCGACGGGGTGGGCGTCGGACGGGTTGCCGCGTACGCCCCTGTCTAACGAACCTCTGCTCGTCGGCAGCTATCGCGTACGGCCCGGCAACCAATCGGAGAACCTATACAAACGCTTGGCGGACGGCGACGTTGCCACCTCGTGTACCGCCCCACGGCGAAAGTAGTCCTCTCGTAGCGGTATTCGTAGCCCTGTTTTCGCGAGGGACGGCCGATCGACACGTTGTTGGCCCGCGTGCACGTGTTGAAATCACGTCTGGAAACGAGGATCGTCCACTTGGAGGTGACACGAGATCGGATCCGTGGATACATAGAGGGAAACCTTTGTGCGAGAGATTCAGCGTCTGGACGCGTGGGTGACAGAGGCGGTTCGCGCCCTGCGTGTACAAGTTTTGGCGGTAACATCGAACGTGTCGTGGGTTTTCTCGTCCCACCGAGGGAAGCAATCGGCTATCAGCTGAATTTCAAGATCGGAACAACAGTGGAATCAGCGGGAGGAGTATCGAGCGTAGAGAGGAAGGAGAACGTGGATCGTCGACCGCGATCGGTCGCTGCGTAGTGCGCGCGCGCGTGCTGCGTCCGTGTGCGAGTACCGTGCGGTTGTGTGAGAGCGCGCTTCGAGCGTCAAACGACCATGCACATAATCGCCTTTTCCGTCTTCCTTTGTTACGGGAGTTCGTAGTACTCCGTTTTGCGCGATAAGCAGATAGCTAGGAAGGAAAACCGACTGAAACGTCGATGAACGTACTACCGTACTAAAGGTAATAATGGCCGCTGGCTTGTTGGCAACCTCGGAGTCGGACAGATGAAACGAGAAGTTTAACAAACTTCCTGTACCGAAAGGACGTTCTGTCGCGTTTCTTCGAGAGGAAAACCGTGTGGCGGGACCCAGCGGTGGACACGCTCGTTTCCGCGGTGAGGAGCCAGGAGCCACGTGCCCCGTTCGCGAGTTAGGTGGAGTCCCATGTGCAAAGTGGGTGGAGGCTGCATCGTGAGGCTGGCTTCCCCGTTATCGCAGGTACGTGAGCGTGTGAGTTGGTGTGAGCGGGCAGCCGAGAGCCGTCAAACGGGCAGAGTGGGCGGGTGTGACGACACGGCCGCGTTTCCCTGCGCGAGGCTGTGCGTCGGTGTGTTACGTTTCCAAGCGTCCTTGCCACGGCGCCCGTCGTGTTCCTATGTATGTGTGTTCCGTCGCGGGGCGGGTGGGTCGGCAGGAACAGGGGCGTAGAGGGGCGGTCCTCGATCGGGTTCTCGAGGAGTGTTCTCTGTCGCCTTCTTTGTCTCTGGGGAGAGCAGTGCTCGCACGTGTGCGTCGATATCATTTAAAAGTCGTCGATGCTTCCTCGAGGACGATTTCGTTCTGCCTCGAGTATTTCGGTTTCGTTCGGTTGTTCGCTGCAGCCGTGGTTTTGTCTAGTTCGGGAATAAGGGGACGAAGGAGAAAAAGCCAGATGCCGTGCAACGGGGACGTCACGTTCACTGCTGAGTCGGTGCAGATTTTAAATAACCACCGTGATCGATCAACGATATTTTTAATTTTGTGAATGAATTCTTCCAGATTAAAGGCTCGTCCACCGAGCGTTCAAACGCACCACCGTCGTCCCGATTTGGTATAGCGAATAATGGATTCCTAGCGTAAGGGTGCTCGACGAATTTACCATCGACGTCGGCGTTGATTGCATTCGAGAGGGTAACACACGGTTTTCACCATGAAACGGAGCGCGGATGGTAGAAACATTACTCAAGTAAAAAATCCTCTTTCACTTTTCTCAGAATTTTAATCGTATTAGTTTGTAATAGAAATAAAATGAAAATTTCTCTATAGGAGGAGGTTGATGATCACGATCCTCTGCAAGTGCAGCAACAGCAACAGCAGCAGCAGGAGGAAGTCGAACAGCAACAACAGCAGCAGCAACAGCAACAACAACAATTGGATCAACAGAATGCTCAACCTCAGATTCGTTTCTTAAGTGCGAACGTGTTGCAACAATTGCAGCAGCAGCAGGATGCTCAGCAGCAAGCAGCTCAGCAGCAGCAACAGCAACAGCAGCAGCCGCAGGTTATCACTCTGCAGCAGCTGCAGAACTTTGTGCCTTTACAGACCCAGCAGCCACAGCACGATCAACAGAGGGCCCAGACGATATCCGTACAATCCCTGCCCCAGCAGTTTCTGCAGGTGAGAGAGGCGATCTTTCGAACACCTATAAATGGTTCGATCGTTTCTTCTTTTAAGATATAACGATCGTTTTAGGGCGCTCAGTTGATCAGCACTCAGGCTCAAGCGGCTCTACAGCAGCAGCAGCAGCAGACCCAGCAGCAGCAGAATCAGCAGCAAGCGCAGCAGCAGCAACAGCAGCAGCTCAGTTACAGCGTGATACCACAGATGCAGACGGTTAACATCGATGGACAAGAGGCGCTTTTTATTCCGTCTTCCGCGATGTCTGCTGCCGGGCATCATCAGACCCAGCCCACGATGCAGTTCACCACTGCTAACGGGCAGCAAGTTCAACTTGCCAGCCAACAAGTGCAACTAGCCAATGGCCAGACCATTATCACACCGCAACCAGTTAGTTTGATAAGAGCACCCAATGTCTTTCCTTCCATTATACAAAATATCACTGGCCAGACAGTTCAATTGCCATCAGGTACGTTTGCTTCGTTCGTCTTTTTACATCGTGTATGCTATATCTAATCGAATCGGAAATGTTCAGGGCAAAGCGTACAGGTCAGGCCACTTCAGTTCCCGATGCAACACGTGCAGCAAACCGTGCCCGTGCAAGTGCCAGTCACCACTAACAACGGACAGACCGTGTATCAGACTGTACATTTCCCGGTCCAAGCGTTGTCCAGCGTGTTCAATGTGCCTACCACGCAGATGATACCACAGATCACCCAGCAGATCCCACAGATGGCTCAGATAATTACGCCCAACGGACAGATCCAGCAAGTCCAAATAGCTAATTTACAGCAGCTTCAAAGTTTGCAGGTACATTTTAATAATTAACGATATATTTATTGACACAAAATTTATGATCACCGTTGATTAACATATAAAAAATAATCAGAGCCAACAAGTGACGCAAGTAGCTCAGCAAGTCGCGCAGCAGCAGGCGCAACAAGTAGTGCAACAGCAGGCCCAACCACAGGTAGTGCAATCGGTTCAGCAACAGCAACAACAGGTGGCTCAGGCTCAAGCGCAGCAGCAGCAGCAGCAGCAACAACAGCAGCAGGTACAGCAAGTCGTTCAACAAGTTATACAACAGCAGCAACAACAGCAACAGCAGCAGCAGCAGCAACAGCAAGCTCAGCAGGCGCAACAGCAGTCGTCCGCACCTTCGTCCACTGTGGCGACGTGGAGCACGACTGTAACGACTCCGAGCAACGTGCAGGTAAGTTTTATCGACGGGAAGGATCGTCTTCTTTTCTATATATTCTAATTCTATTTATTGTACTATGCGTAGGTGCTTGGAATCGGAGCATTGGGGAGGTCAGGGAACAACGTGATTACGACGAAGGATGGACAGAAGATCGACGTGACGTCGTTATCGGCTTTGACGAGGCCACCGGAATCGGTGGAGGGTGATATAAAAGTGACGAGTATCGACGCTAGACAGTTAGCCAGTGGTCAAGTGATACATATACCTGCTGCCCAAACGACGCAGCCGACTAACATCCAGCCGATTACAATTGCGGGTATGTAGATACATTCACTGTCGTTGATCTTTTTATTTCATTAAAAAATATTCCAGGTGCACAAGGGCAACAGTTGACTCTGATTCCCGCGTCAGCGTTAGCTAACTTGACCACCCAGCAAGGTAGCATGATGCGGAGCGTCGGCAGCGGTGGTATAATGCAGATTCAGCCGGGAATGAATACGACGAACGGTTTCCTTCAATCGATACCCGTGCAGAATATTCCCGGGCTTGGTAACGTGCAAGTTATACCAGCCAGCGCGCTTCAACCGGCTACTGTTCAAACATTGCCAACGGCCGCGACGACTCCCATCGTCGCTGCGCCGACGGTGCAATTAGAATCGAACGATCCACCCAAATGGCAGATTCTGCAAACTCTTCAGTCGAACAACACGTTAACGACGCCTGCCCCAGTATCGCATCAGCAACATCAAGTCACCACTGCGTCGCCTGCGAACAACGAAGCCGAGACCACCAAGCAGCATCGCAGAAGAGTCGCCTGCACGTGTCCCAACTGCGGTGACACCGATAGGTAAAATTTCATTCGATTTAATTATGAAACATGATCTGGATCACCATGAATAAATGAAATAAGGAACCTCTTTTCCTTCGGTTTTAATATTAATTCATTTGCGCAACCTCAATCTGTGTCCTGATCACGAACAGAACTGCTCGTTAATCATTACGGTTAAAATAATTTATTCTACTGGACTTAACTTTAAATAGGAAACGTTCGTTTAGGAACAGGGACGTCACGAGGAAACGACAGCACGTATGCCATATAGCGGGTTGCAATAAGGTCTATGGTAAGACTAGCCATCTCCGGGCGCATCTGAGGTGGCACACCGGGGAACGACCGTTCGTTTGTAGTTGGATATTTTGCGGTAAGAAATTTACTAGATCGGACGAGCTGCAGAGGCATCGAAGGACCCACACCGGCGAGAAACGATTCCAGTGTCCCGAGTGCACGAAAAAGTTCATGAGATCGGATCACTTGACCAAACACATTAAAACGCATACGAAAATACGGAGCACGGTAAGAATCCAGTTAAATACCAAGTTCCTGGGAGGATGAAGTATTGGATTTAATGATCTCTCCTATTTATTGTAGGAAGCAGCTACTTCGACACAGGAAGGTTCCTCCGACAGTCAATCTTCCACCGACGAGAAGATTATAATCGCGATGCAAAAGACGGAGCAAACGGATATCATTATAACCGAACAAATAGACGAAATGAAACAAGCTCAACCGACGAATCATGTGACAAACGAATGAGGAAACAAAGTAGAATTATATTGTTTCCCTCTAATAGCAGACTGGAGTTGTAGGTATATACAGAAATGCCGTTGATTGTTACGTTTGATGACACCGATGAGAGATAGATGAATTTAAATAGCGTTACGTTGTTTATGGCGATTTGCAAACGTTATTTGAAGTTACTCCCTAGGCGACTAGGCTAAAGAGACGGGAGTGAAAAATTTTCTACAGGCATTATCGTCATCTTGATAATGATTATATTTTTGTATGAATCAGCCGACGTCTGTAAGTGTAAATATTGTATGTACAGTTGTATATTATTTGTAAAGAAAAGATACATCTTTTGCACAAAATGAATTTTACACTTATAAACAGTTTTTGATATTACGATGTAGAGGAATGGTCAGTCTTTCACCTTAATATAATGAAATTTTTACCGCACATAGGTACGATAAATAGTGTTGCCTTCGGTTTCAGGCTTATCATTTCGATAGAATAATATACCGAATAAAATGATCAGAGGTAAGATCTTTTATTGCTTCCTACTCATTTACATTTATGTTCAGAGTCGCAGTTTTCTTATACGTGAGGAATGGCACACCCAATTTTAAACAAATGAATTTCCTTCGACATCTCGGGCAGAGAATTAATCCCAAATAAAATCAGTCCTGTCCTTCTCTCTCGGACTACTAGGAAAAAGAAAATCAGTTTGAGGGCTTTCGGCTTTAATTTTGTTTTTCTGTTGCTTCATAAAAATCAGTCAGTGAAGAACTCGTCGTGTATAATTTGTATTCAGTTGTAAAATCGAGAAAAAGAAAGGTCAACAGGACACGATGTTCCTAAGCGGTCACCCATCCAAGTACTAACCGTGCTCAACGTAGCTTGACTTTGGTGATCTGACGAGAACCAGTATGTCCTACGTGATATGCCCGTTGACGCACTAGAAACAGTTTCGTTATTGGTAGATAAGGAATGATACACCAAGACTGATAAGCCTTGCAATTTTTATTACTAAATTATTCGAATTGCATAGGATCTTATTTTTAGTTGTTGAAACTTTTGTGAATGAATTTTTCGATAAAACATTTAAGGGACACAATCCATCACAAAGTAGGATAGATATCTTAATGAAACCTGGGACACACTTAAACAGATCCTCTCTGAACCCATTGAATTGAATAGACAAATAAGTAATAAGACATTTCAACATTTTTATTATTGAAACTTCTCATTGCACATATACATTATTGTTACAAATTACTCTGCTGCATCTACACGAATGTTACATACATTAATATATAGTATCGTATAGAAATATTACAAACAGGTACAAAAACTACACTACTTCCTTATCGGTACGTTGTTCTTAATTAATTTAATTGTCGGATTACAAACACGATTTCCTGCAGCCATTCAACCCTTTACTTGCGAACAACGAAACTCTCCCCAGCCGCGTCTCCTCCCCTTACTATATGTAAAAAAATAAAACGAAGTCTCTCGAGTTCTAAAAACAATGTGCAATTCTCAATAACAGTTCAATTTTCTTTTTCTGCTCCTTTTCAATCATAAAGGGTCAAAGAGTTTTATTCAAGTTGGAATGCAGATCCTGCACAATAACTGATGGTTCAATTAATCATTTGGATTAATATATTCATCACAATGGACACTAGTCTTACAATTAATTATGTACAATATTCGTCTCGTCTTAAAATCGTTTCGTTACTCGCCAGTTGCCTCCCATTGTTTCATTTCAATACTATTACTTAAAGAGTGAAAAGTTTCCAAAGCATTGCACACAACTGGCGAGTCGTAATACTTCTGTATTATACATATTAAAGAAGAAACTCGTGTGATATGAGTCGAACTTAAATTTACGGTTTATAATTAACGTCGATCACCTAAAAGAGATCTTTGAAACAGTGGCGAACATTCGTTGCTCATCGTTTCGCCACTAATTGGCAGTGATACAGTGTTCTTGACTCGCTGCTTCCCGTCGCCCGCGCGAATAATAAAACTGAATAGAAACAGATTTCTATCATTGGAATAAAACATGCTGAATTTTAACAGCGCGTGCTCGTCGCACAATAAGCAGACTCATGCATAAGTGCGTCGACTATAAAGTTCCATCAGAAAATAAATTTGAATGTGAACTCTCCTCCTAGCTCTACTGTCTTCACATCCGATAGATGATTGTTAGTCAATCGAATCGAACAGTTATGAACCGCTCTCGTTACGTAAAAAAAAAAGAGAATATGAAAGTATCGTTCTTACAACTTATAATCGACAAGAATACTTTTACAGTAATACTAAGTTCCTTCGAATACGGATTCAGTTACGCTATTCGTACAAGCGTTTACGGAGAGCCTGAGAGAATTGCGCGCGGCTCTCGTCCGTCGATGCAGCACCTACGGCGTTAAAATGCAATAAAAAAATACATTCCTTGTCGTTATGGCATTCTTCAAGGTGTACGCTAGCCAAGAACAAGACCCTCGAGTCAGATTTTATTTAAAAAGAAGATTGTGTCACGTTGAGAGATCAGAAGCTTAAACGAGACGGCAACTAAGGTAAGTGAAACGAACCTAACCTCGCCAAGTTTATAGACAGAGAAGAGAACGTGTATATCCTAAAGTTAAGTAAAACTTAATCGTCAATCGTGTATCTTCGCTGTATTTTTACATTTAAAAGAAAAGCGATTCGCGCTTCGATATGTCGGAAATGAAAAACAGGAAAGATATTTACATAGGGACTGTACAAAAATATGTTCGTCAAACAAAATCTTTACAGACAGTCGATGGAAATGGATTAAATTGTAACGCGTTTGGTCCCAGGTCTCGATTTTACTTTCTCAATCGTTTCCCGTTGTCTCGAACGGAGGGCAGCTTTTGTACACCTTAAAGCAACGTCCTGAAACGTCTACGTGAGACGGAACTACGGAATTCGTGTAAAAGCTAGTTTGTAAAAAGACGCTGATCGCACGCGTCTTCTCGACTATCTCAGTTCTCCTCCGTAAAGAATTACTACTTCTCCTGCTTTAGAATATCTTGCTCTCGTTATGTTTACAAACGTAAAAATACGCTCGACGCGAAAGTTACCTAGTTCCACTGGCCTAAAACTGAATTACGATCGAGGAACTTTCCAATCCTATGCTTAAATTAAGAAGATAAGCTATGAAAAAAAAGCGCAGCGAACGAGACGAGAGATTGATTAAAAAAACAAGTGAATGCGTGATTTAAAGTCGGGCACAACTTAAAACGATAAATCAGGTATACGTTTCTCGACGCTGTTTCTACAATATTCTACAAAATTTTACAAATCCAAATTCTCCCTAGAGCTGTCTCGTCTTTGTACTCTCTACTTGGTTACAAGAATCTAAGTAACTTCATATCCGTCAGGTATACGCGTTTAAAAATTTACATTATTACTTATTTAGTCCAGCAATGTATAAAAAAGTATATAATACATCAGTCTGGCCACGGTCTGGACCACGGTCGTACATACAGGTCGGGAAACTTCGGTGGTGAGGATACGGCTCTTATTTGCCACGAGTGTAATTATAAAAGTTGTCGAATTATAAAAATTTCAATTCAGAAAGTTGCTATTGTGGTTTTGCATTTATTCTACGTTTGCGTCAAGCAAGTACTCGATCGCAGAACAACACGCAGGTCCTCAAGAGCCGTACCTCCACCACCGGAATTACGTGATCTGTGTGTACGATCGTGGCCTGGACCAAAATACTTATCTACGCTGTTACCTACGCTTACGGTTTTCTCTGCTCCGTCGTTCGCCTTCGTCGCGATCCAGAGCAGTCACCAATGAGTCGTGTATAAAAAATCGCTCGAAAGAAACTAGACACACGCGAATTACAAACACTTTTGCGTGACGATCGTACGGGATCGTTGTACGACAGAAAATATTTCACGCAGGACCATTCCTTTCTCTCTCGATAGATTTCAAGGCCGAACAGTCATCAAGATCAATTTGAAATTTACTATTAAAAAGAACTCGAGTACCATCGATCAGTTCGTGGAATTATCTAGAAGTCAAAGATCTCAGTGCATCGCGGCTGCGAGTTCAATCGTGTGCTCGTAGAAAAATAGAAAAAAGCGTGACTTATAAAATAAATTCTTCAGGCTTCTCGATAATTCCTGTGGTCGCTTTTCCATCGGTACGCAAGTTCTTAGAGATACATTTACACCCTGTTCTCCTGTACAACGGTCCGTTCCCAGTTACCTGTAGATGCAGGTAAACGAAAACGACGTGGACAGGCGAACATTGAGGAATACAAGAGATCGAGAGGAATATCTTCGATGCGTCAAATATTTTCGACGTACTTATCTGAACTTATAGATACATGTAAAATTAGGAATTTCCTGTAAACCTACTGGTTATTTAATCGATCTTAAGGAAGGAGCCGTTCCCGGGTCCGGCTCTGAGAAACAGCGGCGTTTTTCTTCGCGACGTGGTGACCGGTTGGTAAACGTAGTTTCCCTGTATCGCACCAGACAACGTCTTTTGCCTCTTCGTCCCAGGACTGATCGACTCGTAATCCACGAACGACTCCTGCTTCGAAATGTTCAACTGCATGTGCAGCGATTCCTTGTTGTCCTCGTTGTCGACGTCCACCTCTTCGTACAGATGCTCGTTCACGTCGACGTCGCAATCTTGGCTGCTCTCATCGTAGCTGTCGGTAACAGAATTCGCGGCTATGTGCCCGTGAATCGATTCCTCGTACACGGCGCTCTCCTCGACGGCCTCGTCGCCCGAGCTCTCCGTCTCTTCGGACGCGTCACCGCTTCCGGCGTACTTCATCTCGCCTCTCTCGAGCAGTTCCAAGTGGTCCGGGCATATCATCGCTTTCTTAATCGCCAGCGGGTCCTTCCTCGACCATTTCTGTACCTCCTCGTCCATCTTGGCCACCTTCGCTGGATTGATAGCCCAGAGGCAACCCTTCCTCTGGTTACCGTTCCCGGCTGGCTTCTCTATCTTTTCGAAGCATTTGTTCAACGACAAGTTATGCCTCACAGAGTTCTTCCAACCGTTCGGCGCGGTTTTGAAGTACGGGAAGTGTTCGCTGAAAAATATATAATATAAAAATAGAATAAATCAAAGAATTTTCGATCATATCGTGTCAACGATTCATTATAGATTTTATAAAATACTGTCTACGTTGTATCGAGCCCTTCGGATAAAATATTCTGTTACAAGAACGAATGAGAATGCTGATTTTAAAGCATTAGCACAACAATCGTGAACCGAGGGGGGAACTAGTTAAACAAAAAAGCGAGCCCCGCATTTTCTATGGGGACTGTACCCCGTGTGGCACGCACCTGGTGTTCCAAGGGCCCCATACAAAATGGCAGCTTCCCCCTTGCGCAACCAGGGAATAAAGGGGGGAGGACAATACTTTGTCCCCTCTAAAGTACCGGAGGGGTTTCGGCCAGCCCTTATCCGTGCCAAATGCTCGAAAATACGACGCGCCGTTCGTCAAACGCGAGCCCATTGTACGTTACAAATAAAAAAAAAATGTTAATTCAACCGGTTCATCCCCGTCCCGCAAAAATTGAACAATTTCCCCTCGTAAAAATTCGAATCGATCTTTCTCTTATGTAAAAATCATTTTGACAAATGTTTTCGTTGTCACAGGCAATGATTGCCGTACATTCAATTCTCTAGAAATGTTGATTAATAAAAAAATCCGTACCACATGAAATTATAGATCTCGGATACGGGCAGCGAGCCGGTCTGGCTGTTCTTCAACGCCATTGCGATCAGACAGGAGTACGAGTAAGCCGGTTTAGGATATGCTTTATCGTCGTAGTCGGAAAGATCGAATTCCTTCTCTCTTTTGATAGCGGCGACGGCCGTGGCACCTGGACCGACGTGCACGTTGTTGTTGTAGATCTGCTTCCGCACGTGCTGCGCCGTTTGCGGGCTCTG